CCCAAGTCTAGGTCTATACCCCAAAGTGGAGGCAAGAATAGAAACAGAAGCCTGGACATCAATGTTCATTACGGCAATATTTACAAAGCTAAAAAGAAGAAACAATCTAACTGTGCATACAGTTAAAAACTGATAACCAGAATAGAAAGTTACACAGCCATACGGAGAAATAAATATTTGATGCATTATATACCATGGAAAAAACTTGAAAATGTTATGCTGAATTAAATTAAAAAAAATAACAACAAAAAACAAAAACTACCACAGTAAAGTTGAATCCGACTCACACTGACCTTCTATCAAATTTCTCAGACTGTAAATCTTTACAGAGGAGATTGCCCCCATGTGGCCTTAGGAGAGTTGGTAGATTTGAACCATCACTCTTTTGATTGTTGTTATGTGCCATTGAGTCACCTGTAGCTCATAGCAACCCTATATACAGCAACTTTGAAGCCTGTCTGTCCTGAGCCAGTCTCACTGACTCCAACACACCTTATTCTAGTGCTCCAGTTACTGTTATCAATCTATCTCATCCAGGGTCTTCCTCACCTGTGCTGTCCCTCCACCCTTCCGAGCAAGATGTCCTTCTCCAAGGACCAGTCCCTCTTGACCACATGCCCAAAGTATGTGAAATGTAACTTCAAAATCCTAGCTTCCAAGAAAAAACTTGATTTCACCCTCTCCAAAACAGATCTGTTTTCTTGGTAATCTGTGGTATGTTCAAGACTCTTCTCCAGCACCACAACTCAAAGCATCAGTTTTTCTGTCATCTTTAGCCATTGTCCAGCTCTCTGATGCAGAGCAAGTAATTGTGAAGACCATAGCTTGGGTCTTGGATCAGGGGCACCTTAGTCTTAGACTGACATCGTTTCTTCTCAGTACCCTGGAGAGGTCTCTGATAGCAGATTTTCCCTGTACAATTCATCTTTTGGTTGCCTAGCTGCTGATGCCAAGACCTCTTGGTTAGAGCCTAACATATTATGTATGAATTGCTACAAGAACTCCTTTTCATGAAAATAATTAGTCACAAAAGGATAAATACTATATGTTCTAACTTAAATGAAATCTAAGGGAAGTCTGGTGGCCTAGTGGTGAGGAGCTGTGCAGCAATCTCAAAGATGCATAGCTCGAATCCACCAGCTCAGCTAATCAATGAGAGAACAATGGGAAATCTCCCATGCTATTTATTGCCACTAAAAGCCTGCTGGAGGGTCAGCTATGGGATGGCTTCAACTTGAAAGAAAATAACAACTTCTATGAAATAAGTAAATATAGAAGACAAGATTAATAATGGTGGGAGAGAGTGTGAAGCAATGTATTTCCTTAGTAAACATTGAGTTAAAAGATGGAAAGAAAGAATGCACAACACAAAGAACATCACTATTAAGTGTGTAGAAATTGTTGAAATATTTTGCAGTACATACTTTCAACACAATTTTTTAGAAGAGTTTTCTAGATTGAGAGGAAAATTCTTTGCAGGTGAAGGGAGTGAGCCTTCCCAGAGCTTCCAAGCTCTAGGGCTCCCTCTGTCATTGTGAACAACTGAAAATTGTGCCTTTCTTTGTCTCTCAAGCTCAATGGGTTACTATGAGTTGGATTAGTTCTCTGGGGCAATAGATTTGTTTGGGATGGTTCTCAAGAGTCCTTGTTAATCAAAAGTTTGGAGAATCAAGTTCACCAAAAACCATTTTAGACAGAAGACTTACTAATCTAGTTTTGAAAAAGCAGTCCTTGAAAATCTGGTGGAATACAGTTCTACTAGAAACACAGGAGGCTGGAATGAGTCATGGATGAGTAAGTGATAACTTTAACACTCGGAGTTAAGACATGTTCTAGAGGATGTTGCTTTTGTTTCCACCCTATATTCCAGCCTGCTGTACACCTTGCTTCCAAGTGGTGTGCTCAGATAGGGAAGCTGTGTTTAGCTGCTACAGAACTCTACGGCTCACTGAAAACAGAACTGGAACTAAATGGGACTGGCTAACTTGTTTTCCAGGGTCTCACAACTGTTACACCTTTGATAAGATGCAGTCTTATCACTTTTCAGTTGTTTTCTATTGTTGATTGCTTTCGAGTTGAGCACGACTCACAGAGACCCTATGAACAAAAAGCCTGAAGCCCCTCTACAATCATCGGCATTTATCAAAGTTCATAGAGTTTCTAGAGGCAAGTTGTTTAGGAAGTGGATGCCACTCCAGCCTCCAAGTTTTCTATTAGCAGAAAATATTTGTATTTTCTTTCTCTCACAGGTGTCTGCCTTATACAGTTTTCAGGTTTTACAGGACCCACTCCTCATTGCTTCGCTCAGACTCTCAGTATCTTCTTTCTTTTAGTCCAGTTATCTCTTTGGTTTCCTCTAACCCGAAGCTATATCCAGTTGCAAGAGCTCATTTGCTGCCAATTTCTGAGATCTGCAGATGCTTAGAACCATCATGGTGCTGCTTGATTCTTTCATACACATGGCCACTTGGAAACAGTAAGAATTTTTCCAGTCTCACTAGCCAATCAAAGCTAGTGCCTAGGCAGCCACTTAGAGTACAAACATTTCCTATTGGAATAAGTGTTTCTGCTTGGATTGGGTTTAGTTTCATTTCCAGTGCTTGTTAAAGTCTGCCCTTCACTATATTCTGCTCCCTCTATCTATTCTTTAAAAACAAAAACTATCAAGTACATCATATTCAGAAAGGTGGACAGACAGTGTAGGAGAGGAAGACCCCGGATAAGATGAATTGATACAGTAACTGGGGCAATGGAAGTAGGTGTGTTGGAGTCAGTTGAGACTGTCTCAGAATATGGCAGACTTCAGAACTATTGTATGTATATAGGGTCACGATGAGTCACAGGTGACTGGAAGGCACACAACAACATTTTATATTGGCTTACATACAAAATTATATACATTATATTTCACACTGTGTTTTATAAAATTAATCAGCATTGAACTATGCCCACCATTACCCTATATTTTCAGGTCCCTGCCAGATCTATCCCATTTCCTTTACCCCTTCCCTCCACCAACCAAGTTGTGTGATCCTGTAATTCCCCCCTTGCCCACACTCACCCCTCTGTTTCCACCCCTTCCCTCCTTTGACTCTCATACATATTTTACTAGTTTTTCCTTCTATTTTTATAATAATTGTCTTAGGCATTATTTGCCTTCATGAAACTGAATTAGTTCACTCAGCATAATGCTGTCCAGATTCTTGCATAGTATTTTTCAAAATTGTTGCTCCTAAGTGTTGCATAGTATTCCATGGTGTGAATGTACCACAATTTCTCAATCCATTTAGTTGTGGTTGGACATTTGGACTGTTTCCCTGTTTTTGTGATTGCAAATAATGCGGCTATGAACATTGATGTACAAATCTCCATTTGTATCTCAGTTTGTTCTAATTTCCTAGGGAGAGTTCTAGCCGTGGAATAGCTGCATCATAAGGAATTTCTATGTTCAGCTTTTTTGAGGAAACATGAAACTGCCTTCCAGAGTAGTTGCACCATTTTACAATCCCACCAAGAATGCATGAGAGTTCCAATATTCCACATCCTCTCCAACATTTATTGCTTGTTGTCCTGTTAAACTTTGCCACTGCTACTGGGGTGAGATGGTATCTAAGTGAGGTTTTGATTTGCATCTTTGACTTTGAGTTTCATTCTTCCACCAACTGTTTGCTTTTTCAAAATGACTGTTACTGAAAATTCCTGTACTATTGTGTTTACCTCTGCCAGTTGTCCACTTGACTGCGTGGTCTACATTCTATAGATTTTACATGAATTTAAAAATTAATCTTTTCTTTTCACAACTATTGCGCCCCAAAGATTATGTACAGTGTATTTTCTGCTTTCCTTCGACTCTCCTTGCTTTGCTTTGCTTTGCTTTGCTTTGCTTTGCTCTAGCAGGCATTAAATTTAGTGTTGAGCTTGATTGATCACTGAATGACCTGCAGTCCATATCCTGACAGACTCTGGAGCAAGAACACTACGATTGAAAATAACCTTCTATTTAGATGTTTGCTAGATTCCTAGAACTTTAGCCTCTTGTTTATAGTCATGTCTTAGATACAATAACGCATTGCCATAAAGACAGTTCCAACTCACATTAGATTTCTGAGGCTGAAAATATTTTCTGGAGACTTCTGTCTTTCCCCTGAGCTGATGAATGTGAATATCTGGACTTTTCGTTATCTCCTTCTTAGTGATGGTAACATGTATTTTTTTTCCATTTAATTTTTATTCCTGCTTTAAACTTAGAAATTTCATGTTATATGATATATATTGTGTTATCAGTATAACAAGTACTTATATGTTCCATTGCAGAACACCCGGAATAATCTCAAGATGAAAAAATGATTACACACCTATAGCTATTCAAGCTTAAAGATGTTTAGAATTATTATTCATTCAAAAGTTTTGGAATGATATTTATTCTCTTGAGAAACACAATCTCTGACTATAGTATGGCTTACATGGATACATCAGGATTGAAATTTCACCCCCTCCCCTGTTTCTTTTGAAGATATATTTGAAAACAAAGATGTTAGTAGAATATTGGAGATTTTTAAGAACCAAATCAAAATTCTTATTTTATTATTATTATTATTTTTAATACAGCAGTCACTGAAAGAGAGAAAGGTCTTTAATAAGATGAACTCACATCCTGATTGCAACAATGGGTTTAA